TCGGCTCTGAAGTGCACTGCTGCGACGACGAGGTGGTGATGAGCCAGAAGTCCTACGTCGACACCCGACTCTTCAAGTTGGAGATCCCGGAGGGGGCCAATGACGATGAGCTAGCAAGTGAGGACCTGGTCGCAGATAACCGAAGTCTGGTTGGAGCTTTGTCTTGGCTGTCGGCACAGACAAGACCAGATCTGACCTGCGCCGTGAGTATGGCGCAGCAGTTGCAGAAGTGCCCGACTGTTGGGGACCTCAAGTTCTCCCACTCCACCGCGAGGAAGGCCCTGGACTTCAAGGACGAGGGCCTGCGCTTCAAGCCGCTCGACATCGAGGACATGGTTGTCCTGGTGTACCACGACGCCGGTTGGGCGAACGCCAAGGACACGGAACACGACGAGCCCTACTTCGAGCTCACCGCAGAGGACAAGGCTGCTGGAAGGGCCTTTCGCGAACAGAGACGGCAGGAAGGCCAAGCGGGACAACTCCAAGGTGGCTTCGCAGCTCGGCGACCTCGTCTTGTTTGCGGACAAGAAGTGCCTGGCCGGGAACCCCAGCGACTTCACCGTCGCTGACTGGAAGTCGCGGGCCGGACAAAGGGTGTGCAGAAGCACGTTTTCTGCAGAGACACAGGCCTGCGTGGAGGGCCTGGAGGCAGGGCAACATGTGAGAGCCCTTTTTGAGACCCTGCTGAGTGGCGACCTCGTGAAGGTCGAAAAGGCGAGGATACCGTTGTTCTGCCTGAGCGACTGTAGGTCTTTGTTCGACCATGTCCATAAGCAAGGGCTGCCCAGAATACCGGCAGATCGTAGGCTTGCAGTGGACCTTGCTGCCCTGAGACAGGGCCTCAAGGCCGAGCAGTGGAGTCACAAGCTCCCGTTGGGGTGGGTACCCAGTGGACACCAGCTAGGCGATATACTCACCAAGCCTCAAGACCCAAGTAGATGGTGGGCAGCCATCAAGCAGAAACTGCTTGTTCCTCTCTTCGTGACGGAGAGTGCTCCAGGGTGCAGAAGGCCCGGGAATGTACGGAAGACCAGTGTGAATCTTTGTGTTGCTTCGCAG